TCTTGTCAGAGCAGGAAGAGATCAATGAGAAAAGTTCAATGAAATGTCTCAATAATAGTTCTAGACAGTAGAAGAGATGTCACCAAACAGTGAGTGATTTATTGCCAAAAAGACTGTTGCTGACGGGGGCTGCTGAAGGATTTCAGAGAGAAAAAGATCACCTTGAATGGAGGACAGCCTGGGGGAATCTTCAGAGACAGCAGGATCCCAGCTCAACCTTGAAAGATGCACGGAAACCTGTGGGCGGGCAAGAGAAGCGTTTTGATGGTCTCTTAGATGGGCTGTTTTTGTTTGGGGTTTTTTTTTCAAGGTGCGAAATCCTCTGAGATGTTGGATAACTGGTGTAGGGAGGGAGGCAGGGCCCAGGGGGGTCAGAGAACATTGGACATTCAAAAGAAATGGCAACCACAGGGTGGAGATGATCCAAGAGTCCGCCAACAGGCGAACAGATGAACAAAAGGCAGCCTAGAGTGGAATACTAGTCAGCCTTCAAAAAGGAAGAGATTTTGACAATATGGATGCATTCTACAGTAGGGATGAACCGTGAGGACGTGATGCTAGGTGAAATAAGCCAATCACAGGAAGCAAGTTCTGTGTGGGTCCACTCCCAGAAGGTACCGAGCCGTCAAATTCCCACAGAGATGCAGAGTGGTGCTGGCCAGGGGCTGAGGGGAGAAGGGGTGAAGAGCTAGTGTCTAAGGGACACAGTTGCAGTTTTGTAAGATGAAAAGAGTTCTGGGGATGGATGGTGATGATGGTTGAACCACGTGAATGTACTTACCACCGAGCTGTGCACTTAAAAGCGGTTAGAATTAAGATGGTACGTTATGTTATGTGTACTTCACCACATTATAAATGTATATATTTAAAAACAAAGAGAGAATGGCAGCAGGAAAGCGAAGATACAGGCTGGGGTTCAGGAGGGAGCACCGCGCTCGAGAAGAGTCGGTAGCCTAACCTTTGTCAGGCTAGGCCTGGGAGACCATGGGCTCCAGCTAGTGAGTCCACTACCGGACGGTAAGCAGGTGGTATACGCCACTTCTTTCTTTGGAAATGCTGAACTTGTTTTAGTTGAATGAAGACTTTTAAACTCTTTGAAAAATCTCTGACCTTGGAAATTATTGCAGCTGGGGACCTGTAGACACTGACTCCTGGTTACACTCAGGTGTGAGCGCAGACGACTCAGCCCCAGAGAAAATACCATGCAGGCCGTGCTGCGTGGCCCAGGCAGGTGGAGACCACTGGCAGAGGAAGGGGTGCTTCTGACTCGCCAGCTCTAGATCAGGGCTCCCACGACCCCCTTCTCGGACTTTCAGACGCCAGTGGAAAATTCCGGTAGTTACCCCTACTGTTGACCTGATCCCATGGCTGGAGCAGCTCACAGAATGGACAGGAACATTTTACTCACCAGATGACCAATTACCAGTCAGCGGAAACAACTCAGGAACTTCCAGGAGTGTCACCAACCTCAAGTTCTCTAGACTCTGTCCTTTGCATTTCTATGGAGACTTCATTACATAAACCTGATGGATCGAATCATTGGTCACTGGCTGTCGAGTCCAACTCTCGGCCCCCTTTCTCCCCAGGGAGCTAGAGTGGGCGTGGAAGTTCCAATCTTCTAATCACGTGGCTGGTTCTCCCGGCAACCAGCCCCCACCCTTAGGTGGGATCCCAAAGACACCTCATTAAGCTGACAAGAAACACCTTTACTGCTCTCATCACTGGGGATCTTCCAGAAATGGCAACAAAGACCAAATATATACTTATTACAAATCACAGTATCAAAGGCTTCATCTAACGGACAGTTCTAGTATCTAACCATGTCCGTCTACTCCGACTGGCGTAGGAGCCACAGGACGGCCCGAGGCCCGGCAGGCGCTCAGGAACCGTTTGGAGATGGACAGACTGATGATGAAATGGCTCTAGACCCCTCCAACAGTTCTGAAAAGCAGGCTACCTCTAGGTCTTTTCAGAAGAATTCCTGGGCACCCTCATTTAGTCTAAATGTGATAAGCCTCTTCTTCTAAGTATGATTCTGGACCCCAGAAGCCTTGGGCCCAGAGTTACCTTGCCTGCCTCCGCAGATGTGGTCTGTAACTCTCGTCACCGTGCCACCACGGGTCCCTGACAGCAGGTAGGTCTGCAGTCTTGGCCTGTCCAGAACTTGAGGCCGGTCTCCTGGCTGATGACTTCCTGAACCTACCATTTTTAGTGGCCTTACTTCAAAACACAAAAACAAGTACACTGTAACCGTTCAGACTTCTCGCGCCACAGTAAGAAAACGACCTCCCCTTCAACAGTCGATTCTTCAGGCTGACTATCTTACATCCGCAGGTAGGTCTGGACAGCAGATAGAAACTTATGCCTGGCACACAGGAAATTCATCATTGGCCACAGGAGCCGAAATGCTTACTCAAACTCTTCTTGACTTTTCCTTTTACGCTTGTTCCCTCTGAAAGTTGGGAAAGACGGCGAAGGTGTTAGATCCGGGCTGTGGCTGCGTCGTCGGGCTCCGTCAGGCTAACGGCAGACTTGTAGAAAACAACAGAAGAGCAAAGCGTAGACTGTCAGGGAAATGGAGTCCCTAACATTTCACTCACCACGTCTGCCTTTTAAACGTAGTTCTACCAACAGGTCAGAGAGAGATGGCTTTCCTATTGCCGTCCCTTAGCCACCACAGGCCTCGCAGACGCTGTCCCCTGCACCACGACTGTGGCGCTGCCTGCCCCGTGGAAGACGGCTCCAACCCCTCCTCCTGGGCTCGGCCCAAAGACGACAGTTCAGAGCAAACCTCCAGTGATCGGACGCCGAGCACTGCACAAGTCTCTGCACAGAGATGCCGCCACTCCTCCGGACGACAGAAACTGGGACGTCATCACTTACACTCGAGTCACCGGGAACCCAGGTCGGCAACCCGGTCTGTACGCCGAAGCCTCAGGCCCGCACGAGAGCATCTCGGCGGCACCAACCACCCAACCGCAGATCTACTTCCTTCCCAGCAAACATCCTTCCCGGTCACCTCCTCCCAAAAGGAAAAAAAATGTTTTCACTAAAAATGTAACAAAATGGGACAAAAATATAAGTATCAAAGTTAAATAAATTAGACACACGGCCAGCTTATTAGCCCCTGGACATATTTACAAATGTGACATAAAAATCACACACACCTGCCCTGGCCGGTTTGGGTCAGCGGTTAGAGCATTGGCCTGAGGTCCAGAAACCCGGGTTCGGTTCCCGCTGAGGGCGCGTCCTCGGTTGCAGTTTGTCCCCGGCCCTGGTTGGGTCGTGTGGGTGGCAGCCACTCGATGTGTCCCTTTCACGTCGATGTTTCTCTCTCTCTCTCCCCCTCCTACTCTGTCTGAACAAAATATGGAAAAGTGTCCTCGGGTGAGGATTAAAAAGAAAGGTCCAGAGAAAAATCACGCTCACCTTTCTGACAGACAGGGCTCACAACTCAGAATTTGCGACAACATAAAAATCTAATATATTTCCTATCTTGAAGTATCTTTATTGATTTTTTTTTCTTTTTTAAAATGTTTTCATTGATTTTAGAGAGAAGAAAAGGAGAGGAAGAGAAACATCTGAGAGAGAAACACTGGCTGCCTCCCATGCACCCCCTACTAGGGATCGAGCCCCAAACCCGGGGAATATGCCCTGACCAGGAACGGAACTGGTGACCCCCTTGGAGCATGGGTGCCGCACAACCAAGCCACACCAGCCAGGCTGATTTCTCTTCCTACAAACCTTTTGTGTTATGCGTGTTGGAGCAAACAGAGGGCCAGGGCTGTGCAGGACATAGAGAGAAAACGTCTGAGGAGACAGGAGAGATTTAGGAAGAGAATACGCTGAGATCAGCAGGGGCCAGAACTGAAGGCGAGTATTAGGGGTGGGAGGAGGCCCGGGACCCACAGATGGCCCTGGGGACCTACTCATGGCTGCACGGAGCTGAGGAGCAGGCGTGCAGGAGGGAGAAGGGAGGAGCATCTCCTAACATCTCCCGTCGGGTCCGTGAAGCAGAGCCACTGTCAGCCCTGGGGACAGCACAGCGCCGGTGGCTCAGACTGTTCTCTGAGCACTAAAACATACGCAATGTGCTTCGCAGACTACACAGAAATGACAGAAACGGAGAATCAAGCACATAATTACAAGATAAAAATGAACATACTTCGCCAGGGTAGGTTTTAATAAGATTTTAATAATATTGGTAAGGAGCCAAATTACAAAATGCCCCAGAATATGGAGTACAAAACCTCAGAGACAAAATACAATCTCATAAAAATATAAGTGCTTAGAAATAGCAACAATCTGCAAGATAAAGGAACCACTTTCTCAAAAAGGTACTGAGGATGTTTAATAAAAACTAAGAGGGGCCCTGGCCGGTTCGGCTCAGCGGTCAGAGCGTCAGGCCTCGGACCAATGAGTCATGGGTTCATTCCGGTCAAGGGCACGTGCCTCGGTTGCGGTTCATCCCTGGCCCTGGCTGGGGTCAAGCAGGAGGCAGCCAGTCGATGTCTCTCTTGCATAGATGTTTCTCTCTCTCAAAAATGGAAAAAATATCCTTGGGTGGGCTTAACGACAGGTGTGCAGCCACAGTCTTCCCGGCCACAGGGCAGGAAGGGGTGACTGCGCCCACGGAGGGCAGCCTGGCACCAGGGGCACATGTGGTCCCGCCACCTGATCTGGCACGAACCGCCTTGGGGCGGCCGAACTTCCTCTATCTCACTGACAGGACAAACGTCAATTTGCTCCGAGGTTGTGACCAGCAGGGCGTGGTCTTGGGGGCGACAGGATGAGCTGTCAGCTCGGGGAACAACTATGTAATGTGTGACCAACAAACCAAAAATGAGACAAAAATAAAAGGTGCCACCACCCTGTGGGTAGCAAGGCAGCAAAAGCAGAGAGTGTCGAGTTCAGTTACTCCCATCCACTGGCGGGCTGGGCGTGCCAACCTCTCTAGGATTTTTGGGTGGGTGGGTGGGTGGGGTTTCCCTCAAGTCTCTACAGCAAATACTTTAATACCACTGCCATGTGGGTCCTCTTCCCCCCACCCCAAGGGCATTCATGTTATGCTTCATTTGGGCCAGATGTTCTAATCAATGTGTTGGCTCATCCCACTAGGAACACGACGATTATTTATTCGTCCTTCCTGCGCAGGTGGCTGTGTGGATGGCAGAGCGCGGACGCTCGTCTGCAGAGCCGCCAGCAGCACCCTGGCACACAAAGGGAAGGCACCCCACTCCAGCCCCTAGCGCCAGGCCATCCACAGGCTCCTTTACCTTAAACCCTAAATCAATAGCTTAATCAGATGCAGAGGCCATGTGACAGGAGAGTCAGGGAGAAGCGAGGCTTTCGGTTCTGTGGATTGTCTACTTCTGCCGCACTGGCTACTGAACAGTCGAAGGGCATCAGCAGCTCCTCAGAGGAGGGTGAGCGCCGGAGCCGGAACTCACTGAGGCTTCTGACTGGACCTGCTGTTGATCGAGTCAAAGTCAATGACAATCTTGCTGCACTTGGGTGTGAATTTCCTAAATGGAAGAAACAAAATATGTAACGATATTACCCAGTGAGGACTGGAAGCAGTCTGCTTACTTTGGCTTAACCTACATTGTCCATGGCGAGAAAAAATTTTCCAGGGACTCACTTTACCCTACAGGAGCCAATATAAGGACCAATGACAGCACGTCCTACGGAGAGAGACGTGGCCCACAAAGGACTAAGCCCACAGCAGGTGCTGGTGGCTGGGCTGCAGGCTCCTCGGCTAGCTGGGTGCAGTCAGCTGCATGATGGGCCACCCGATGACTGCGTTACCCCCAGACTCAACCTATCTTCTAGGAAATTTCTAAAGCCAACGTGAAATCACTCTAAAGCAAAAAAGAGAAACTTTTCTTTTTTGTGTGGCAAAAGAGCAACTAGGTTTGGTGAGGAGTCATTTTTAAACTCACGTCCTGAAAGATGTAGAAGTAAAAACACACCCACTATATTTATTTCACTCATTAATGCATCTTCTATAATAGTTAATAAAAAAATATTGCGGGAACTACACATATTCTTTTAAAAATCAGTAAGTGTCCAATTATTATTAAGTAAATAACTTGGATTTCGCGTCTCACCAGGCACAACAAACTCATGGCCTACACCCCATGTTCCTAATGGTGAATGCCAGGGGCCGGGCATGTCGCCAGGTGTTACCAACCCCACTCTGACCACAAGCACCATAAAGCAACTACTTTGAAAGCTTTCAGTCTCAGAAGAAGTTTCTACCCTGAATCGAAGGTGTCCTCCCAATCTTTACCTAGCTAAGATGGTCACACAAATCTAAATGACTTCAAATAACTGACCATGTTGCTGTCAAAAGAATTCCAGGTGTTTCAAACCGGGCAGGTTACTATCATCCTAGATTTATTATGCCAGAGTTGTCACACTTGCAAAATTTACAAAGGTTTAATGTTCCTGTTATAAAACTTGTGAATTTTTAAAAATTTCTTGCTACTAAAGTAATTGGCCCAAGCCATGGAAAGCTACTAATATTTAAGTACGAGCATTAGACAGTCTTCTAATACTTCTTCACCGCTCTTAAAGATTTACCCCTAAAATAATCCGTAGACTCGTAGCCCATCGCATTGAGAAAGATGCTTTCAGAGTGGACGAAGTCAGGCATCACAGCCCGAAATCGCCTGTTTCTCCATCGGGCCTTCACACACTTCCCTCCGTTCTTCTGCCTTACCTGAAGGTGACTCCAGCCATATTAAACATGAGCCGTGCAGCGATGGTCTCCTCGCTATCATGGTATTTATCAGACATGAATATAACTTCTTTGATACCTTAAAAGGAACAAGCAGGAAGCCCCGTTAGTACAAGCAGAGACGCCGCCGGGGACGGGCAGCGGAGCCCGGTGTCTGCGGGAACCACCCTTTCCGACGCCCTTGCTCACAACGTCCATGACCGCGACCTGCAGCGGCGGCTCCAAGGCGGCCGCGGTGACATTACGTTTAATCTGCCCCCTGGTCTTCGCGGATTTTTTTTAACAAATGCAAAGTGAAAACATGTCAGGGAGTCAAGCCTTGATCTGACGAACACACTTCCTCACCGAGGGCAATCAAATATTCTTTCTTCACGAGGCAACTGTTTCCCGGAGGGGCGAACAGCGGGGCGGAGCGTGCCAACAAAACCGGGGCACCAGCGGGCTTCCCAGGCCGGCTCGAGCAGTGCCAGCACAGCAGATCCCTTTCCTCTCCCGTCTTACCAGGCGGCACTGACGGAGGGACAGGGCCCTGGAGGGCACAGGCTGCTCCGCCCACGACCGCGCTGCCTCTGCGCGAGTCCCGAAGGACCCCGCAGCACGCGCGGGGCAGCCACCGGCGCCGTCGTGGAGACTGCGGTTCCGACACCGGCAGACCTCCCCTCTCGGAGATCCCGGGGTCCCCACAGCGCACATCTGGCCCATATGATAAGTCTTCAAATCTCATGCCGAGAGTTTTATGAGATACAGTGTAGCTGAGTCTTAGATGTGACAATTTGAGAAAGGTGAAATATTCAGAATATAGTGGTGTAGATTTACAGTAAGAAAAACTTGAAGTCTGATGACATTTATATGCAAAGAGATGTTTAGGTCCTCAAATATCTACCATACATTAGACACAAATTAAAATTTCATATACAGACTCCCAGCTGACCTTGCTGCCGACAGAAATTCATCTCTCGCCCTCTCCCCTAATCTATGCGCAATATGTCAGGGAACAGAAAACCGGCAGTAATTGTATGCAAGCCCGTGTTGTTTCCTGGCAGCTCGCAGTTTAAGAAGTTGCAAACTAAATTAAAAACATGCTAAGAATCACAGAGGATGCAATTAGTCTCAGAATACCTGGCACCATTCAAAAAACAAAACACAGGAAGCATCTTGCGAAGTTGATAGTGCAATTAATTCAGATCTAAACAATAGTGATTTAAGACCGACCACCGCTGCGGCGAGCGGCCGCGGTGCGAACGTGACAATGGAACGCCGCCCCCACCTGCCTGGATGATGAGCTTAGCACATTCATTACACGGGAACAGGGCCACGTAGATGCTGCAGCCTTTCACGTCGGCCGAGTTCTTGTTCATGATGGCATTCAGCTCGGCGTGGCACACTGGGGGTGGGAATGAGAGAAAAGAAACACTAAGATTGTGGCGCAGGAAGGGCTCACTAATAGCATGGAAGCATTTCATTCCGACCTCTGAAAGAACATATAATAGACTCAATTAAAAAAAAAGCTAATGAGAAACTGAAAGTACTGAGAATACCAAATGGGCCATGTGGTCTGACAGGCTGGCGATTAGCAAGCCTTCCCCACAGCGGCTGCCTGGGTCTGTGAGCACCTAGAGCAGCTGGGGGTGGGGGCAAGGTCAAGTACCTTCACCCCAAGTGCAGCCACAGCTCGCCACTCAAGACCCTGGGGTGCGGACTGTCCACATACACGGTTGATTTGGGTACTGATCAGCACACACAGGGATGTTCGCCGTGGCCATTGAGAGGACAGGGAACACTTCTACGAGCAAGAGAATCCAGAAGTAAATCTGCGCGTTTCCGTCCCGAGGGAACCGCTTCACCTCTTGGTTGTCAGCCCACCTACACACAAGAAACACGCCAGTGGGTACCCAGTGGTTCGTCTTTCACAAGAGAAACGTTCATCCACTAATGGCAATGAAGAGCCAAGTCCTTGCTACACGGGCTCATTCCACCCAAGATCCCTAAACGGTGATCCACGGTCATTCCCGGACTCGCCTGAATTCGAGGATGAAGGGAGCACCCTCCCCTCCCCCGCATCTGTCAGAGCCCACCCATCTGCCCAGGCCATTTGGCTGGGGGTTTGCACCACCTAATCTGCTTTGTGAGGTCGCCGTATGCTATCTTAATTGCTGTATCACTGTCTGGGTGCATTATCCAAAGCCGTATTCTATCTCCTGCGGCGGTGATCCACAAATTGTCTGCACACTGAATCCTCAGACAGCTTCCCATACAGGTGTCTGTGTCCCACACCTGCAGTCAGACACGCTCTGGGGTGTGGCCTGGGCTCTGAGTCGTCCAGCGGTTCCCCCACGTGATCCCCACGTGCAGAGGTGTGTAGGAAACACTGCCTCACAGAACCTCTGGTATCCCCACGGTGACGTAACACGCGCTACGCATATCAGTGCTAGAATCAATGTTTCCTGAACAAATTAACGACTATGGCCATGGTCCAAATCACACAAATCTCCTAGAATTATAAACAGGGGGCCTCCAAGCGTCTCCCTCACCCTCTCCCACCCATCAACCAGCCTCCTACACGTAACACCTGCCTCCAGGAGTGCTGAGGCCTAACGTCAGCTCCCACACATGTGGGCTGTGACGCCCTCACTCGGTCAGTGAGTCTTTTCAGTGCCTGCTCTGGCTCAGCCAGCGAGGCCCCGGCTCCCCCCTCCACCCCCCAGGCCTCCTCGTCTCGCAGGGTGTCCACTGTCCAGCTGTGCCTGTGTCCGGCAGCTGCTCTGCGGTGCACGGGCCGAAAGCTGGCCCAGAGCACCCCCCCCTCCCGGAAATGCTGGGGGTGCTCGTTTCAGTCTATGAAGAACAATTCAGGTCCCAGTCGTGTGTGGGAATGAGTAGTCTCTGGCATTGTAAGAAAATCCAAAGACAAAAAAAAAAAAAGCTGTGCTTAATCAGATCAAGCCCATTAGAGAACAGTCCCTGCAGGCCGGGGGGCCTGAGCCAGCTCCCTGAGCTGCACTGGTGCACACACCCCAAGGAGGGTGAGGACAGGGAAGAGGAGAGAAGGGTCTCATGCCTAGTGGCCAGAGGGCGCCGGCCTGCCCAAGTCTCCTTACACCATTTCCTTCTCTGGTGACCAAGATGTTCCCAAGCGGGATTAACACTGCTCTGTGTTAAAAACAATTAGATGTAATTATTCTTCTATTTCCCCCTTGAGGGAAGAGACTGGCCTTCGAGGTTCGCTGTAACTCCCCCAGAGTCCAATGCGATGCCATGAACATAATGGGCGTTAAATATTTATTGAATGAATAAAGGAGGAAGTGCAGTTTCCAATTATTGATGGCAATGTTGGGAAACAGAGAAAGTCCTCTTAAATCCAAATGTCGAAATATGTTTTCTCTATCAAATATTTTTTGCAGGTGATGGTATTAATATTCAGAACTACACAGTTTCTGAATCTGGTGGAAAACCTAGTACACCGTCCTCTTTTGAATCCCTAAAAATTATCACATGGATGGCAACGATCTTCCTCCAATTCACCGGAGGCATTTTGGGGCAAAATGTAACATTGCATGTCTGGATTCATTAAGAAAATTACCATATGAAACAGATTCTCTTGGGCAGCATCCAACATCCCCAGATAAAGGATGGTTTATAGAAATGACACACGGGACCATAAACAGACTTCCTTTCTCTTACCTACAAAATCATAAGATGAACAATATAAAGCTTCTTGTTAAAAACATGAGGTCTGCCTGGCGACAATAGCTGAGCATCGGGAACACGTGAGACTCTGCAAAAGGAACAGTTCACAATCCACAACCCCACATATTCAAGCCAGACGATGAAAAAACCGAAACCTGAGCACAGTGCGCCATGTGCTCTGTGACTTCAGACATGACACACCCAGTCCACCTCCCCCAGCCCCCTTGCCCACCAAACCCTGCCTGATCAGCATGGCTCCCCGGCCTGCACCTGCGGGTGGGGGAGAAACCCCAACCCAGGGCAGCACCCGGCTCCAGCCTGGCCCCACCCACCTCGGAAGGCCCCACTGCTGTCTGTCCAGGTCCTGAAGTCCGAGAGGCCTGGCTCTGGCCGCCCAGGTCCACCATCCCGCAGCCTCTGTGCTCTGACCCTCGGCTTCCCCTCCAAACTGCCCTGCGCTTCTCTTCAGGATGATCACCGGGAGCCGTGACTCCGGCAGGAAACAGGACAGAATGACTTGACGACTGTCCATTCGATTTGTTAATGTAGGTCAATCGGAGGAGTTTGGAATCATTTACCTGGACCAGGCATCTAAACTGATGGAGTGACAGGTAAACTGTCTGACTGGCCTCAGGCCACAAAGAGCACTAGGCGGGGAGCATCTCCCCCACCCCTGCATCCTCCATCTGCACCAGCACACAGCCTCAGCCGCAGGGCATGACCCTTGACAAGGGGTCTGTGTGCTCTTTCGGTTTGTAGGAATAACGCTAGCTCTCAGAAAGTGCATTTCCACTAACCAAATAAAAGCAATTTTAAAAAGACCAAGTAATTGAATTTTTAGCTTTTTTATAATATGCCCAGTTTCCTCCCTCTGTCTTCCTGAACAGCTGATCTCCCAGACAGGCTCCGGACCACAAAACATGAGTCTCCTCTCCCGTGGCCAAGGGCAAGTCTCTTGACTTTGCACATAAAACCTCTGGTTGTCTCTAAAACAACACTTTTCAAACTGCAGGTCATGAAATCGGTTTAGTGAGTTATAAACAGCAGTTTTTGTCCTTTTTAATGAAAAGAGAAGGGCTGAGATTAGAATGCACCCACATAGCAAGGTTAGGTACTGATCCTAAAAACTGTTGTGTGTGTTTCAGAAAAACGACGTCTGCTGAGTCGCCGTGTAAGAAGTCTCAGAAACACTACTCTATGGGAACTCGCTGACCTCTATAATATGCAAGTAACGTTTACAACCAACCACTTTCTTTAAATGGCCCTAATTTGTAGTGTCTGCCCATCTGTGGTGTGAACACTGCCACACAGCCAATTCCAAGCTCACAACACGACACAGAACTGGGAAGAGGTGCGCACACCTGCTGTGGTGAGCTGTCTGGCACACCGGTCAATGGCCTTATCTTGACCTAAACCCAAAGTCTCTCTGGCTGCGATCTGATTCGCCTGCTCCCTGGCCCTCCTCGGTCGGTCACTACTCTCCACTCTAAACCCTCTCAGGAGGACCAGAGCTTGGGGGTCTCCTATTTTCAATGGGTTCTTTCTCTCACCTTTCTGGGCATGTCCCAAGGTTCAGTCTTGATCTTCAATTCATCCTTTCCTAGATTCTCAGATAGCAGATCTAATTATAAAATCCTAAAATCTACATTTCTAACCCAAAAGTCCCATCCTTTCCTCGGGCTTTTTTCGTTGGGTGGCCTGAGTTTTCTCCGTAACGTTTCTTACAACACACATTCCACAGATATCTGGCAGCAAAAAGTTAAAGAATACATGTATCTTTTTCTAGTGCTAGCATTCTGACTGTGTTGCCTTGGAATATATTTTGCACAAATACATGTGTGTAAAAACCAACCACGGAGAATGGTGTCACAGTGATCCTGAGATGAGCATAGTTCTTATATTCGTCGTAGGAATAAGGACCCAGGATTCCAAAGACAGAGTGTCTGGGAAGTAATTCATAAGATAGCTAGGTTGTAAAAAAATGACCAATTTTCCAACTATTTACCTGGAATTACTCATCGATGGCTAAGCAATAAGCAAAAGGACTCTCTGAATACTACAAGTATATTTGCTAAGCACCAAGACTAACAAAACCCTTTGTTTATTCTCAGCATTGCTGAAAAGGAAAAGAATCAAATGCTGAAAATACTGGGTTAACACTTAGGAAGTTCCTCACTGCCAGGAGGCCTCTGTCTCGGGTAATCGTGAGACAATGCATGTGCCTCGGTCTTCCCCCCCTTTTCTGTTACTAACTGTCAGGACTCAGAACTGCATTAACCTTGGGCCGTGCAGAAGAGATTATATAATTAGAAAACTGTACTTTTCAAATTCCTTCTTACCAGGGCTTGATTAATCCTTACTGTCTGATGTAGGTGGTTCTCTACCAGTTTGACAAATTAACAGGATATATTCCATCCCTGGTTTAGATTTAGATTTAAGAGACTCAACATTTTATAAATTTGACTTTCCTCTCATTTGCTATAAGAGCAATAAAATATCTACAGTGATACCTCAGTTCTCGAACATAATTCGTTCCAGGAGGACGGTCGAGAACCAAATTGTTCGAGAACCGAAGCAATGAAACCCAATAGGAAATAATGGAAACTGGATTAATTCGTTCCAAGCCCCAGAAAATGCCTATTTACTGGCCTAATTTGTATATAATATGTAGAAAAACATAAGTCTCAACAAGAAATA